ATGCCAAACTGCAGGCCAGGATGCCCAGTGATATTTTCAATGCGGTATCTTGGAGCTTGTCAAACTCCCCTGTTACAGCCCCATCAATGTAAAGAGGTAAGCGCACCAAAATTTGCTTGTCAGTTTTGGTGATCAGCTTCTTGTACGTCTCACGATATGCTAATCCTGTATTGAGATTCCCAATTTGCTTCAAATCGTTGTGGGGTGGTGCAAAAGGATCTGGTTCACCGTTCTTGTTATCGAAGAACAGCCAATCCTCATCCTCCCATCGTGGATCAGTCAGAAGGCTTTCGACAAGATCTCGTGAATGTCGGCGATATATTTTAACCTTAGACTTGGTATGGGGCAAGACTTTCTGTATCGGTTGGGCATACTTTTTGCCCATGTTGTTCCGCGTTTTGAGCTTCTTCATCAATTTTTGCGCGGGAAATGCACATCTTTGCCACTCACCAAGTGATTTTGGTGTTTCTGCCAGCTTTTTCCACATTCCTTGAAGTTCCATTCCATCACAGCATCGTACGTATCCAAAGTGGCCTTCCTTTTGAACAATGTGTGCATTATCTTGATTGCTGCTTTCTCGTTTTTCTTGAGGGGTATAAAGTTTTGACATTCATCTCTCACATATTCTTTGAACTCTTTCATTTTTTGCCTACTTGGCTCATCGCATTTTCCCTCTTGCCCATTATCTGCATTCGTTTGAGCTTCCTCATCAGGCGGATCAGCAAATGGATCAAAGAAATCTGCAACATCACTGGAGTCGGCTTCACTTGCCTCATCCACCGTATTCACTTGCACATTGGGAAGGGAAGCATTGTGTGATGCGATTTGCACGTTGTCGCTCAATCAGTCGCACGTCTTCCATGATCAGTGCATACTCGCTTGTGTCAACACTTCTCCGTCCCAATAAGCTTAATACTATCTGTGGTGGCATCCACTGGTAAGTCACCTCTTGTCTGAGTGCTTCTTCTTCTCGTCAGTGTCGGTTGATCTATGGCCTCTAATTCTGGCTCCAAGTGCATCTTCTTCCTAGGTCTTTCCTCATCGCTATTTTCCTCTGCACTGCTTGTCTCCTCATCATCTCTTGCTCTCCTTTTGCCACCACCGCCATTGTCATCGTCCCCACGGTCGTTGTCGTGGTAGTCAGGGTCAGTCCGTGTCTGAATCGAATGCGGGATTCGGCAAACTGTATCCTGATGCCGCTTCAAACCCCAGTCAGTCTTGCACGTTTTTAAGCAGTACGGGCACTTGAATTTGACCATCGTGCGTGTTTATTTTGTGCAACTGGAAAAGATTTGAGGGGTGGCCAAAGTTTTTGCCTTGGATAAAGCGCAGAATGCGGTCAGGTCCAAGGGGCTTAAGGAAAATGAATGCCGATTGCGAAAACTGTTTATAGCTTGGTGCACAAAGAATGTGCCCATTTGCATATTGAAGCAGGCGCACCCACAAGAATCTTGTTCAATAGTAAAGAATGTTCTGTTCTCCATGCACGTTCGTTAAGCATATGCGTAAACACTAGTTGTAGCCTTGCTTATTATGACACAATGTACCGTATGAATCTATAGGCAACATCAAGATCATTTGACGCAAAGCTGAGTTAATAGTAGGCACCTGCATCGGACTGTAGAGGCTCTTGCACAAGACCATCACGCACAAGCACACTGGTAAATTGGGTGGCTAAAATGCGCTTCTTAGATGTCAACCGTCGCCAACAAGCCACCTTTGGTTACCACTGAGGAACCCATTTCTGCAAAATTGATGGAACCAACAAAAACAACAGTATCGCCTGTAACCAGTCACTTTTGGTTAATCACGATGGAATACATCAGAAGTTACCGCCAGCTATAGTGCCCCAAGAACGAGCCAATTCTCGACCGTGGAAAGCCAACAATTACCACGTCCTCGCACATTGACCACAACCCGTTGTTGTTTCGTTGGAAACTGGGCTCTCTAAAGGCTGTTTCAGGTGTCGGAGAAGTGGTACCTGGTAGCATTGGTGAAGGAACAGTTGTAGGTGTCTAACATCAGCTTATCAGGATCTCCACAAAGTTGTTGGCATGTCATCTCCAAAGGGGTGGGCAAGCGAGGGCTGAGGGTACTGTTTGCTCTTGTTGCTGGCCGATAACTTTTAGGAGCGAGAGCTCTGGATCCCGTCAGAGATAGCTCCAACAGCTATGCTGGCCTCCAGCTCCAGCACCCACAGCTGGCTTATCTCCAGCCAAAGCAGCAAGAAAGGATCGTCCTTTCCATCATAGTTAAGAAAATAGTACAAAAGATTGAGACCGATCCTGATTAGCTTGTAGCCCCTTTGATACAGCAGCAGTTGATTCATATCCTGTTGAGGCCGGGCAGAAGCCGTAGGAGGTAGCAGGTAGTACTGTTCCCAGACTGCCACTGCACGATTGAATAACGAAGGCCTCCAGCTCCTGAGGAGAGCTGGCCCAAAAGGGCCCAGCAGAGAGCTCTGCTGGCCCTCCTGTCTGACTGACAGGGCCAAGTCCTTGGCTTGGGTGCCTACTGGAGGTGTTGGATACTCATGAGGCACGACAAGGCTCCCTGAACTGCCTGACTACCGCTGTACCTGAGGAAGGGTTTCAGCGAGGTCCAGTCCACTACTTGAGTACTGGAACTGAAACTTATTGGATTAACAGTCGCATAGAATTCAGGCAGTTTTAAGGGAAGGAGAGTCTCCAGGTCGACAAGGAGCTCTCCGCATTACAACAATCAGTGCTACACTACAGTTACAGTTGGTTTCATTGGATTTGACAACAGGATTTCAAGGCTCTTTTTGAAGTCCTAAGTCAACAACCTTCTGGTCAATTTTGATAGTTCCAGTTTTCACCACTGTGACAGGAACCTTTCACTTGACCATCTACCAACCCTACAAGGCCAACACCATCATCATTGCCTCAAAAAGGACCTAGATATCTCCCAACTTGACAACAACCTCATTGCCGAGAGGAGCGAGTAGCGAGTTCCCATCCAGCGCGATACCTTACTCTAGCTTACCTGGTAGCTAGTAGCACGAGGAGAGGCAATTCACTCGAAAGAAGAAGCACTGGTCCCGTCAAACGGACCCCTGGAGTCTCCGAGAGAACAGGAGACTTATCGGTTCGCACCCCTTTGGCAACGAAACCAAGTCTTTTACGTCCCAAGGAATTCGTGTAGCAACCACGGTTTATTGCGTTGAACGTGGCTTATCTCTTCTGAGTACGGGCTTATTCCTTCGAAGCTTACCGTGATTTATTGAGTTGTCCTCGGCTTATTTCTTTGCCGGATTCTCATTGATCTTCACGGAACGTCCTTGGCCAATCAAAACGTCCGTGCAGTTTCCGGGTGTCACGAGTTTCTTCGCCGGATTGTTTCAGCGATTACACGGAACGTCTTGGAACAATCTCACGGAAGTCGATCAGCCAATCAAATCGCCTGTGCAGTATTCGAGTTATACGGTACTTATTGCTCGTGCACTGAGTCAGTACTCAATAGTGTACGGAACGACATACGAGTTCTTGTTAGATCCTGATCTTCAGAGCCTTATACGACTACAGTTCCCCGATCCAACAGCAGGCTCAACTCACGTAAGCTCGCTGCGCTCACAATTTCAACTGATTTACACGGACGACACTGGAAACCAAAAACTCTGCCAAACAATGAATTTGCTCTGTAGTTTCACTCTACAGAAGGGGCAGAGTGAACTCCCAGAGTTTTGGCTAAGTAATGAGTTCGAACAGGCCGCACAATAACCACAGGTTAACCGTCCTAGAAGAGGAGTTGTCACATTCACAAAGTACACGAAAAGAAAACAATTACGCCCTCACGCAAACCAAAAAACAGTTAAGGTTGCACTGACAAAAGACATATGGGTATGCACGAAAGAAGGCAACAAAGAAGAACACATATTATCTTATACGTTAATTTTTCAGGTCTAGAATAGTACCTAAAACCTTCCACCTCGAATCCTCCTGGCTAGCCGGATATCTTTTGGTATGATGGTGATTCTCTTGGCATGGATAGCACAAAGGTTGGAACATTGGAACATGTCCACAAGATGGGCTTCTGACGCTTGCTGGAGAGCTTCCATTGCAGACCCTTGGAACCTGATGTCTTTTCTAATATCAGAAGCTATGTCTCGAACAAGACGCTGAAAGGGCAGTCTCCTGATTAGGAGATCGGTTGACTTCTGGTACCTTCGAATTTCTCTGTTCCTGGAGCGGCTGATAATCCGCGAATCGTGGCACCATCCGCGGATTTAACGGTTTTCCACGAATCCGCGATCCACGAAACGATCCGCCGATCCGCGAATAACCGCGAATAACCGCGAGAATCCGCGAGATTTAAGAACCAACTCCTCTATATCTTTTAAAAGTGGCATCCTAAATCTCGCGGATTTTCGCGGTTATTGGCGGTTATTCGCGGCCGCGCTCGCGGATTCGCGTCGCGGCCGCGCGCGAGTCGCTGATTCGCGGAAGAGGTGCTCGTGAGTCCCGTTTTCAGGCGCTCCTGGGCGATAGCGCTGTCGTTTTTTGACACACACCTTCAATGGAGGAGGGACCTTCCTGGCGGCCCGCCTTGCTAGCGCTTTCCGGAATCTGGGATGTTGTCCGTCGACTACTTTGCTTGCAGTTGGTTTAGTCCTTACCATAATGGAGGAAATCAATTTTATGTCTCATTATTTTTGGACTGTGGATGTAGTCGTTAAACTGCATGCATAGTAGCATGCCGTCTTTGCTCTCTAGTACATACTTCCTGCTGGTATGATATCAATATAGTCGTTGCAGTACTGGGGCTGGGGGCTGGTTGGGGTCATTCTGTTTCTATATACTGTAGGTTTGGGTTCGTTGGCATGAAATTCAAGCAATTTTTTGAAAAAGTGGATGGGGGAAGGGGGGGAGAGATTTTTGAAAATGTGTCAGTCTCACAAAAATCCTGTCCGGACAAACGAAAACGAAAAACAAGGAATAATATGCCACTCCCTGGTTCTTGGTTGGATAGTGAGTGTGCAGATGCAGAAGCGTATGCCAATGCTACCAGGTGCGACGGGATACAGCTTACAATTCAGCTTTACAGCTTTACATTTAGCAGGCTTATTCTAGAAAATAATCAATAACTGCTCACTTATTTGGAAATACAAACTTTACATCTCTTAGATCCTTAGATTAATCAATGCACAATGGTATTGTCGCATGGTAGCATGCGAGGTTATGAGATGTTACTCATTCTTATTCTTATATGTCTATCCCTTATGGTTGTCAATGGAATGAACTACCCCCTGGTGCAGAGCCCAATCTCCATCGGTAGTCCTCCCCCTTGTTGCAACTTACTTCCCTTGGATTCGCTCGAAAGCAATCCCCTTGTTCTTACTCCTATTGACGGTCGCAATCTCAATGAGGATACCCTGGATTCGCTCGAAAGAAATCCTCTTGTTCTTAATCCTGTCGTCGATCGAAATCACGATGAGGATCCTATTATCTCGATAGCTGCAGCAGCCGCTACTGGTACTGCTAC